TGAATACGTATCGGTGGAGGAGGGTTGAATGCATTGAATGGCACAACAGGCAGCAGATGTGAATAGCTGACAACAATAGCGTTTGAGAAGATCTTGTACATTCTTTCTTTCATGACCTTAAAGTCAAGAGAATCTGGATCTTCCCGATTTGGATCATGCTTGCCGTCAAACTCAAAAGCTGTGCGGGACCTCTCTTTGATTGGAGCTAATCGGCTTTTGATGAAGTGCCGAGCGATCTGTTCTCCCTGCAAACCTTGTTCCTTCAGTTTTAGCATGCGTTCCATCAATTCCATTGCCTGAGCAGCTTCATCTCCCATGGGCAATGAGTTCTATGTGTCCTAGTAAACCGGAGGAAGACGGCAGTACTCGGGGAGTGCGGGCTCAGGATTCTGAACATAGAACCAGTTTGCATGCCAGCCTTTGTTTGAGGTTTTGAAGGGCATGGAGAAATATTTTTGGCTCAAGGTTCCTCTGAGTTGGAAACCAGCTCCCCCAACAACGCACGGTTTGCTTTTGTTTGGCTGGGGCTTGAGGAAGAAGATGCGGCGGAACAAGGCGAAATGAGGCCTAATGCCCAGAAAAGCTTCGCAGGCGTGGATAAAATTGGCAATATGCACTATGGAGTTTGGATTCAAATGATGCAAGCTAATCCCGTAGAAGTTCAGAATCCCCCGGAAGAATCTTGAGGTTGGAAGAGAAAATCCGCCATAGAAGAAATGAGCAAATACCACGATTTCGTGTGTGTCGGGGGTCGGGAATGCTTCGCCGAACGCCGGTCGCCACCCAATGATCTCCTTCGCTGGGAGAACGCCGTGCGCCACCATCTCCTTCAGATTGTCTTCTGTCACATCGGAGGGCGCCCACTGACTCTCGAAGCTTTCTCTTTCTTCCGCCATGAGTGTGAGCTGGATGGTTTAATTTGGTCCGGGATATGGCTAGAGAGGAATGGGGAATCGGAGCGGTGGACGCGGGGAGAAATTTCGTGAAGTTTTTGAGGGTGGGTTGGAGCAGATTGATGAACCCTAGCTTCGTCGGCGCGGTTCTGTACTGTAGCACGGAGTGGGGAATGACGAGAGTCTCGGCGGGGAAGACGAAACGACGTTTGGACTTCGGCGTTTTTAGGGTATCGGGAGTACTAATGGGCCTGGGCCTGTATAGTACTTCAGCCCAATTATGTTTTCAGCGTGGCTCATTGTGATCCCTAGGGACTTAGGCGCTTTTTGCTTTGGCAATATGTGCTCACAATGATGCGGCCCGATGCTATTAAAATCCTTTTTAACGCGATTTAATAATTCTTTGGAATTATTATGATGCACATGAAAAGGTGCCCGACAGAAAGGTGTTATACCATTTTTGTAAGCTTTTTTAGGCTACGAAAGCTGTTGGGTTAGTTTGAGATGACTGGTTTATTAGTAGTCATTCTCCTAGCATGTTATATGCTTATTTTGATTATAGTAAGGGTTATAGCCTAGGCTAATGAACTTCTTAATTACCATGATCTTTATCATATTTGGTGGATCATTTTAAGAGTTTCTTACTCGGATTCCTACCAAATATATCTATTTTTGGACCTTTTGAATGTTTATCATTCGGCCCTTTTCATATTTTTTGTCCTTGATATATTCAAGTGAGAAGCAGTCGGCTGGGTATTTTATTGAGTACCATGCATGCTTCGATATAAAATCGCTCGGTTCTTGACTATATGTTTAGTTTTTCAACTAATCACATAGTCGGGGGCTACACCTAATTAGGTGCATCTACTCGATGCACCATGTTTTATTTTCGCCCTTCACAGTCTTTTAGCACTCGGCAAGCCGGAGCAAGTTGAATTGAAGCACTCGGATTATTGTTTTTTGTTTCGAGAAGACTATTTTGGTCAACTGCGAAGGTCTCGGGGGCTACTGTGGAGATTATGGTTACCCCATATCTACATGGCGGTTATATTCCAGCTGGATATATGGTACCAAATATAGATAGAATATCTTTATGAGGACTCGGGTTAGATTCTAAACTTGTATGTCAAGAAAATACCCGGGATCCTAGTCGGTTACGATTGTATTTTATCTGTAATCCCATGTTCTGTTAGGATATGGACTGTACTTTGTAATACGGATCCCTTCCCCTATATAAGGATGGGTCCGGGTTCCTCTCGGGACGATTCTTTTTCTCCCAGTCATACAATCAATAACACACTCGGCGGAATCATCCCCGGACAGGAGTAAGGTATTACTTCTTGAATAAGAAGGCCTGAACCTGTATAAAATTCCTTGTCTCTAAACCCATCCACTTTCCTAGCTTGATAGCCACCCCCTTTTATTATTGCCGAAATCTTGTTTCGACAAATACTACTCCTTACTACTCTCTCTTGAAGCTTGTTGCATTATGCCTTGAAGCTTCTGTACATGCGACATGTCCATTGCCATGATCTTAAGGAGGTATTTCGCCTTATCCTTTTCACTCCAATCAAGTGGATAATTCTGAAGCTTCTTTGCTCCACCTTCCACAATATGATCAAATAATCTCACAAGGAAAAAAGTCTTAGGGATTTTTTGAGTCCACACAGTCCTTGAAGATCTGCTTCATTGCATCCGTCGTTTGTTTCCAAAGGCCTTTCTGAATAGAGTGATTCTCCAGTGCTCTCTACTGGTGGTAGTATAGTACTACCATACTACCAGTAGAAACAATCTTAGCCATTGATTTATTAGGCTATGATGGTAATTTTTCTTTGTATGATTTGTTCTTTCTATTCTTTTTCTTTTCCCGAGAAATTCACATGATTAGATCTCGCGTAGAACGAGAAATTATCTTTTATCTCTTGCCTTTGATTTGCGGCGAGAGGATCACTTGCCATATATGTCAAGCAACTCATGCACTTGAATAGCGCTATTCAGTTTTTTACTATTCCTATATGATTTGTTTGGATGAAGATGCATGAATACATGTTCACATCAAAACCAACACGGGAGCTGCTAATGGGTAGCCTGCAGGCCACAAGATTGTTGATCTGTCCTCGACCAGGAACAAAAAGCCTCGTGCCGCCGCCTTGAATCACCATGGAGAACAAGAAAACCCAGGTTTAGGTTTTAGCTTGCACAATTCTACTACCATTTATAAGTTGGTAGTAGAAATAGATCTGATCCCTTCGATTTAAAAAAAATAAATGGCTCAGATTAATTCTACTACTTTGCCAGATATTCCCATTTCCAACTCTTCTGGATATTCCCATTTCCAACTTTACCAGTTTCTGCAAATGCTTTGGCTGCACGAATGCATTTTAAAGTCAATCAGTGCTTGAGATTCATTGTGTTGTGTGATCTAACGGTTTATATATAAACCGTAAAGAAGGAAATGTATTACTTCCTCCGTTCCAAAAATAAATACACATTGTATATAATATGACATATCCTAGTACTCTAGTACTATGAATATGAATCTGGATATCTGTCTTTTCAGATTTGTAGTACTAGGACATGTCATATCCTATATTAGGTACACTTATTTTGGGACAAAGGGAGTAATAAATATGATTTTAGGTGGAAGAGTGTAGGGCGCGTGGCGCTATTAGGGCATTCACAGTGCGGTGAGATGGCATTCGGCCTCACCTCGCCAGCTCGGAGATTCGATCCACGTCGGTGTGGAGTGAGTCCCTGTGAAGAACGTGGAGCTTCATTTGGTCATGCAAACCTAATCAGAACTTGTCAGGAGGAATCTCCATGATGCACAAGGAGAGGGGCGAAACCGCCTTGGAAAGGACATGTCCCCAAATGCGAAGCAATGGTCCCATCGCCACCAACATTGAGCATCTCCCCCCCTCCCTCAGGGTGAGCCGCCCCCGCCGTGGAGGGGGCGCAGGATGGCCGTCGTCGTACCATCTCCACCGTCGAGCTACCACCGCCTCCACCCAAGGCTAGATCCAGCGAGTCTTAGGTTAGATCTGGCAAGGAGGGGGCATGGAGTGATCATCGTCGAGCCGCCGCTGGCTCGGTCGAGCTGCAGAGATGGAGAGGGAGAGCGGCACCGCAGATGGGGAGAAGAAGAGCGACGGAGAGGTGGAGGGGGAGCTGTGCCAGCAGTGGGGGTGGGGGAGGGGGAAGGGGAGCGGCGCTAGCGGTGTGGCGGAGGGGGAGCGGTGCCGATGGTGGGGGGTTGACGTAGAGGAGTGAGTGGCACCGATGTGTTCCGTGGGAACCGAGAGGGAGGGAGGGGATAAAGGAGAGAGAGAGGGAGGGTAGGTGAGGGGATTTGATATTATTTCTTGGATTTTAGGGTGTGCAATGTAAAATTGGTACTTCTATGTAAATTAGAGAAAGTATAAGAACTGAAAAAAAATCATGAGCTGGAATTATAAAATTAAAGCCACTTCTATAGCCACATGCACGGTGAGCAACGCAGATTTTGAATTCGTAGCTCTAGCCTACGTGACACTCTGAGGCCTCTTATATAGGTGGGATGCACTGTGAGGAAAATTTTTTATTTTTATATTTATTTTTAAGATTTACAAAAATATATTCTCATTTCAAAGCTTCACATAAATATATCCTCCCGCCCTACCGTAGGGCGGGGGTAGATAAATCGTCCTACGGTAGGACAATCTACGCGACGTGGTACCCTGTGGGAGGTGTGCGTGGTAATTTTGCAGGCGGCTTCTTCCCAAGAATGAATCGCCCTAGGGGAGGGCGATTCATTGTTGGGAAGGAGCCACTACACAATTGCTATGGTGCGTCCCATACATAGCTAAACGTTGCGCTATGGTAATTTTGTAGGCGACCCCCTTCCAGCAATAAATCACCCTAGGGAAGAACGATTTATCGCCGGGAGGAGATTATCTAGAAAATTGCCATTGCACGCCCCTCTCCTGAGGTGCCACTTCACATTAATATGCTCCTTCTGTCCTCGCCCTACGGTTGGGTGGGAGGAGCATATTTTTGTAGAACTTTGAACGGTACTTTATGTTTTTAAATCTTTTAATAAATAAATAAATATATAAATCCACTGTGAGAGCCTTTAGTCAGGCTGGTCGGCCCAGGCCCAGTTGGTCCGGCTTGCTTGGAATTCTCTCTACCCTTCCGGATTCCGGCCACCTCCCTGCCTTCCACTCCGCCGTGCGCCGCCTCCGCGCCCTCCTCCATGTCGCTCCGCCGCCTAGCCCGTTCCCCCTCGTCGCGCTCTCTCTGCGCCCCGCGCTCCTTCTCCTTCTCCACCTCCGCCTCTCCGCCTCCGCGCGCTCCCGTGCCCGCATCCCCTTCCTACCTCGCCCACCACCTGCTCGACGAATTCTCCCGCCCGCGCGCCACCCGCGACGCGGCGCGCCTCCGCCGGCTCGCCGCCGAGCTCACCGCCCCCGCCGCGGAGTCCGTCCTCCTCCGGCTCCCGTCCTGGCGCCACGCCCTCGACTTCTTCCGCTGGGCCGCCGACCAGCCGGGCTTCCGCCACTCCTGCTACTCGCTCAACGCCATGGCCTCCCTCCTCCCCCGCCACCAGCGCGCGCATCTCGACCGCCTCGCCGCCGACGCGATCTCCGCGCGCTGCCTCATGACGCCAGGCGCGCTCGGGTTCCTCCTCCGCTGCCTCGGCGCCGCGGGGCTGCCCGACACCGCCGTCCGCGCCTTCGACGCCGCGAGGGCCTCCTTCGGTTGCACCCCCAACTCGTACACCTACAACTGCCTCCTCGACGCGCTCGCCAAGGCCGGCCGCGCGGACGATGCCCAGGCAAGGCTCCGGGAGATGGTGGCGAGGTGCGGCGACGGGAGCGTTGATAAGTACACGCTCACCTCACTCCTGCGGTGCTACTGCAATGCAGGTCGTCCTGATGACGCCAACGACGTGTTCCAAAGGATGAGCGAGCTGGGGTGGGTGGACGAGCATGTGCTTACGACGCTGATGGTGGCGTTCAGCAAGTGGGGGAAGGTGGACGGTGCGGTTGAGCTGCTAGGGAGCATGGAAGCACTGGGGATGAGGTTGAGTGAGAAGACATTGAGCGTGCTTGTCCACGGGTTCACCAAGCAAGGCAGGGTTGACAAGGCCATGGACATGTTTGCCAAGATGGTCAGTTACGGGTTTGTTGTCGATTTGGCAATGTACAGCGTTTTAATTGAGGGGCTCTGTCAGCAGAAGGACATTGCGAGAGCAGTGAAGTTGTTCAAGGAAATGAAGAGCAGTGGAGTTGCTCCTGACGTCCGCTTACTCAAGAAGGTGATCGAGGCTTTTTGTAGAGAAGGGGATTTTGCCGTTATTGGTCCGTTCATTAATGAGAATGCAGAGTATTTGAAATCCGGCAGTGTTGTCCCACTATACAATGTAGTTTTAGAAGAGCTTGTCCATTGTGGTGAGGTAGAAGCAGCTTATCAGTTGCTCCGCTCCATGGTATGTGGTGGTCAAGCGGTTAACAATGATGTGGCTGGTGGTGCACATATGTTGCATATCCGTGAAGATGCTAAACCAAATTCTGATTCCTTTAACATTGTTGTCTGTGGCCTATGTAAGGTTAAGAAGCTGGATATGGCCTTAGCTCTCACAAAAGACATGATTAGCCTTGGTTGTAAGGGCAAGATTTTGATGTTTAATGATTTGATCCATGAGTTGTGCAATATGGATCGGTTAGAAGAAGGATATGGGATATTTAACCAAATGAAGGACCTTGGTTTGACACCCTCAGAGTTCACATATAATTCATTGTTCTATGGCATTTGTAGGAGAAAAGATCCAAAGGCTGCTCTGGATTTACTAAGGGAGATGCAGACAAATGGGCATCCCCCATGGATAAAGAACTGCACGGAGATGGTGCAACAGCTTTGCTTCAGTGGCAGAGTAACAGAAGCAGTGCAATTTTTAGATGGAATGCTTCAAATTGGTTTTCTTCCTGACATTGTCACATACTCTGCAGCCATGAATGGAATGTGTAACACTGGAGAGGTGGACGATGCGTTACACCTCTTCCGTGACATTTCCTGTAAGTATTATCTTCCTGATGTGGTAGCACATAATATCTTGATAAATGGGTTTCGAAAATCAAGTAAATTGGATGAAGCACAAAAAATTATGGAAGAGATGTTAGAGAAGGGTCTGTTTCCTTCTGTTGTTACCTACAACCTTATGATTGATGTTTGTTGCAAGACTGGCAGGATTGAGAAAGCAATTTCTTACTTAGATAAAATGGTTTATGAAGAAAAGCAACCAACAGTAATTACATATACAAGTTTGATAGATGGATTCTGCAGTGCTGGAAGACCTGATGAAGCCATTAAGTTGTGGTGCGAAATGAGGGAGAAAGGTTGTGCTCCAAACAATATAGCATATACTGCTTTTATAAACGGGTTGCGCAAATGTGGCCGAATAGAGACTGCACTAACCTACTTTGAAGAGATGGTGACAAAAGGTTTTGAGTTGGATACTTTTTCCCTCTTATATTTTATAAACTTTTTGATATCAAATGGATATCCCATGAAGGGATGTGAGCTTTTAAAAGAGGTTCTCCAAAAAGATACCTACGGCAATAATTTGAAAATGGTAGGATTAATAAATGAAGCAGTTGTGGAGCTGTCGAAAGATGGAATAACTTCCTCAGATATCCTGAAATTTGTAGATAAAGGTTTAGTTTCAAGTTCTCAAACTTTGGACAACAAAGATGGAGACAAATGATAACGGTTACTAGCATAAGTCAAGTCTTTGTTTGTAGCCAGCATATACTGGTCTCAACTCTGTGGTGCCAGGCTCTGTAGATTGTTCATTGCTTCTGTCTACATGTCCTTCTGCTTCGTGCAACTACTTTCCTGCAGCTTATACTGGTGTCAACTCTGTGGTGCCAGGTATGTTCGTGCTACTGCTTTTTCTGGCATTCTTGGCCTTTGTCCTGCTTTCAAGTAGGAGTACAAAGTAGTGCTGGTTGCTTTATGACTTAAATAATCACATTTTCATGAATATGAGATATGGTAGAATTTGCGTAGACTTAGCATGGATTGTTTCTGACTGGTATACACATGTTCCTTTCACCATTGAGACAGCAGTGTATTTTTTCGAGGAAGGAGGCAGGAGTTCTGCCATTCACTATTAGTAGAAAAGAAAGGTCTAATTTTTACAAAGCCTGGATATTTTACCATTGAGACAGCAGTGTAGTATGCACCTATATGCGGTTATGCACTTAACTTCATTGTAAACTTCACTTATCCTAAATCCTAGTGCTATTATCGAATTAAGTTTTTCTTATTGATTAAATAATTAGTCTGGGGACTGAGGTTTCTCCTCTTAATCTATGCTAAGACACATTTGAACCTGCATGAAGTGTTGCATTTTTTTTCCCCATATTGCATAAGAATGTTTGCCTGTCAGACTGAACTAATATGATCTAAGTTTACATGATTGGAGGCTTACTAGATTGATGAAAAAAAATCTGACCTAATTTATAGTGAAGGTAATCTACTACAAATACTGGAAGGGCTTGAGGCAAGAGGAAATTGGAGGTGGGCTTTATCTGTTACTGAGTGGGTATACAAGGAGAACATTTACGAGCATGGAAAAAGCAGGTATATTTGTGTGAGTACTACTTTTTGTTATTCCAAACTGCAAGTCATCTGTGAGATTTAGCAAATGTTTTCAATCTGCCTTTCATGTGCTTTTATGCAGGATTTCTTACAGGAGCTGTCAGAGAACGATGAGAAAATCAAGTCCTTAGTCAGCATGGGTTTTCCAGAAGATGAAGCAAAGACGGCTATTACTAGATGTGGTATGCCTCTTGAATTTGCTGCTTTCACAGGAAGGGACCTTATACTGCCTACGTTGGGTAAAATTTCGCAGGTTTCAATGCATATGTAGATATGTTGGCTGATTCAATATTATCTGGCTGCAGGAAATGTTTACTCTGCAAACCTATCTGACTATGAGGTACCTTGTGATTATAATGCATCCGAATCAAGAAATTGTTTCATTTCTTTAAATGTAATGGCACTAGCATCATGTTTATAATTTTGCAGGATGCAGAGTTCAGTTCCTTTGGAGGAAGAAAGAATACAAGATTCATGGATGGAAGCAAGAAAAAGAGTGGTATGGAAGTGGGCCACAAGGGAATCAAATGCCATTTGGTGACAGCCATGAAGAGCCAATGCCTCTGCCAAATCCTATGGTGGATTGGTGGGATTCAGCTTGCCCAGTGACAGTTTAAGGTTAGTCCACAGAAACCTTCCTGAAACCAGCTTTTGGACCACCATTCTTTTACTATGAAAACGTCGCCCTATCTTCGAAAGGTGTATGGACGACCATCTCAAGGTTCTTGTTTGATATTCAGCCTGAGTTTGTAGGTTCTTTCTGCGCGGCTGCTAGGAAGATGGACTACATTCACAACCTGCCAATTGAGAACAGGTCGCCCGTTCTTCCCCTTCCACCAAATACAATATCTGAAGCCTTTCTTCCTACTAATATGTGGTGGCCCTCGAGATCCAAGAAGACAGTTCAACTACTTGCAATCTTGCGTGGCAAGCGCGAAGCTTACAGGACGCTGTGCTCTTGCTAGCTTCGGTGGAACACCACCTATGGTTCGAAAGTATATCCTGGATGAATGTAGGAAGTGAAATCTTTTCTGGGTTGGAACGAACAAGGTTGCTCCTCTACAGCATGATGGACAAAATTCCTGTTGGGAATTGGGATACGCTAGGAGTGCACAGTCAAACTTCCATATGTGAATATGGCACTAGGGACAATTTTATCATTTAATTGTTAGACTTTGCACTAGGATCACCTAGGTTAGATCTAGTCGGGTGGTCAACACCCAGTCCACCTCTCCCAAGATGAAAGCAAGGTCAAGTTTTCTATTCCATCACAGATTTGCACATAGAGCATGTTTCATCGTCACGGTCAATCACCGATGGATTCGATAGCCACTATACACATCTCTATTCAGAAACAGATACTTTTACTTTTGGGCCCTGTAGTCTAGGATTCATAAGGCTCCCCTTAGACCCATGCTGGCTACATGTTCCTTGAACATGTTGGATGGTAGGCCTTTCGTGAGCGGATCCGCGAGCATCCTTTCTGGTCTAATGTGCTCGAGACTGATTGTTTGATCCCGGACTTTGTCCTTTACAACATAGTACTTTATGTCAATGTGTTTGGCAGCACCACTTGACTGATTGTTGTGAGCGTACATTACTGCAGGTTCGTTGTCGCAGTATAACTTTAGTGGTTTCTCAATACTGTCAACCTTTAAACCGGGTATGAACTTTAGCCAGTTCACCTGCCCCGTTGCCTCATAGCATGCTATAAACTCGGCATACATAGTAGACCCTGCAGTGATAGTCTGTTTTGAGCTTTTCCATGAAATAGCTCCTCCTGCCAGGGTGAACACATATCCCGATGTTGACTTTGTATTATCTTTTACAAAGTCAGAATTTGAATACCCCACTATCTGGAGCGATTCTGATCTTCTGTAAGACAGCATGAGGCCTTTTGTTCCTTGCAAATAACGCAATACTTTCTTTACCAATTTCCAGTGCTCTGGGCCTGGATTACTCTGAAATCTGCCAAGTAACCCGGTAACAAATGCCAAGTCAGGTCGTGTGCACACTTGCGCGTACTGTAGGCTTCCTACAGCTGATGCATATGGCTTTGTTTTCATTTCATTGAGCTCATACTGATTTCTAGGACATTGCAATGCCCCATACTGCATCTGTACATGTTGAATTTCTTCAACACCTTTTCTATATATGCCTTTTGAGAAAGTCCCAATGCATACTTTGTTCTATCTCAGTGAATCTCTATGCCCAAAACATATGAAGCCTCACCGAGGTCTTTCATGTCAAAGTTTGAGGACAAGAATTTCTTTATTTCCTGCCGTAGACTGACATCACTACTAGCCAGTAGAATGTCATCCACATACAGAATTAGGAAAATAAATCTCCCATTCTTAAACTTTGAATAAATACAGTTGTCCTTGACATTCTCTTGAAATCCAAATTTCTTTATTGTCCCGTCAAACTTCAAGTACCACTGTCTCGAAGCTTTCTTTAATCCATAAATGGATCTCTTTAGACGGCATCCCATATTTTCGTTTCCTTTCATGACAAAACCTTTCGGTTGCGCCATGTATACTTTTTCCTCCAAATCTCCATTTAGAAATGCCGTTTTTACATCCATCTGATGTAATTCCAAATCATAATGTGCCACCAGTGCAATTATAATCCTGAACGAATCTTTACAAGAGACTGGAGAAAATATCTCATTGTAATCAATCCCTTCTTGTTGCGTGAAGCCTTTTGCCACAAGTCGCGCTTTAAACTTTTCTATATTCCCTCTGGAGTCATATTTGGTTTTGTAGACCCATTTACAACCTATTGTTTTGGCTCCATTAGGAATTTCTTCTAAATCCCAAACATCGTTTAGTTTCATTGATTTCATTTCATCTTTCATGGCTTCCAACCATTCAGATGAGCGAGCGCTTCTCATGGCCTCTTCATATGAGGTGGGATCATCCTCCATATGTGACTCTTCTATATTATAAACTTTATAGTCATCACGGATAGCCGATCTTCTGACTCTTTCAGACCTTCTAGGGGCCTCCACATTTGGCACATCCTGTACCTGAGGCTCTTGTTGAGTCTCCTGTACTGTCACATTATCTGTTTGAGGATGTTGCAGCTCCTCCTCTGGTGTGGCAACCATTTCTGTTGAATCCTGTATAACAGGTTCCTCATTTTCATTCATTGTTGCCACAGGAGAGGTAACAACAGGTGCTGGTACCTCAATGACAGGCATTGCAGGCACAACATCAGCAGGTAAAGAGAAGAAAGGTTCCTGAGTCGACGGAGCGGGTACAGACACCCGCCTCTCCTCAAGATCAATTTCTCGAACTACCGAGCTCCCCCTAATCATTTTGTCTTCCAAGAAGACGGCATGTCTCGTTTCTACAAACTTTGTATTAACTGTTTGGACAGTAGAAACGATAGCCTTTTGATCTTTCAGGATAGCCAATAAAATGGCAGCTGACTGTTTTGGGGTCCAACTTCCCAATATTTGGGTTAAATACTTTAGCCTCTGCAGGACTCCCCCACACACGGAGGTGAGCTAGCGAGGGTACTCTTCCTATCCATAGCTCATATGGTGTTTTGGGCACCGATTTGCTTGGAACTCTGTTGAGAATATGAATGGCGGTTTTTAACGCCTCCATCCATAAACCCAGTGGTAGTGTAGAGTAGCTCATCATGCTGCGCACCATATCCATAAGGGTACAATTGCGCCTTTCAGCTACCCCATTCTGTTGAGGTTCGCCCTGTGTTGAATACTGGGCTACTATTCCATTCTCTAACAAGAACCTTGCAAAAGGTCCATGGACTTGCCCATAAGGCGTATGTCGACCATAGTACTCCCCCCACGGTCAGATCTTACTACTTTAATCTTTATATCATGCTGATTTTCAACTTCAGCTTTGAATATCTTAAATTTATCCAATGCTTCTGATCGCTCTTTAATTGGATAAATATAACCATAGCGGGAGTAATCATCTGTGAATGTTATGAACGAGTCATAGCCATCCACACTTTTCACAGGAAATGGACCACAAATATATGTATGAATGGTCTCTAAAATTCCTGCGCTTCGTTTTGCATCCTTTTTGATGATCTTTACAAATTTTCCTTTAATGCATTCTATGCATTGTTCTATGTCTGAGAACTCCAATGGAGGAAGAATTTCGTTCTTAACGAGTCTCTCAATTCTCCCCCCTCGAAATATGGCCCAAACGACAGTGCCATAATTTCGATGAGACATCGGGAGTTCTCTTTCTTTTCTTGTTTTCTTTTGTCAACGAGGACACAACATTCACATTGTCAGAAAGAGATAACAAATAAAGCTCGTCTCGCAACACAGCAAGACCAATACATGCATTATTATACCATAGTTCACATTTGCCATTTCCAAAGCGGCAATCATATCCATCAAAATCCAACTTTGATACACTTATTAAGTTTCTTTGCAAAGAAGGAACATAAAAGACATCTCGAAGTAAAAGTGTGAAGCCATTCGCGAGCTCTAGAGGAAGATCTCCAACAGCTTCAACTTTTTCTTCAACTCCATTGGCAACTCTAATGGAGCTTTCTCTTCTTTGCGTAGTCCTCGTTGAACGGAATGCCTTTAAACAATTACAAGCATGAATAGTTGCTCCAGAATCAATCCACCATGTGGATCTAGAGTAACCAACATAATGAGATTCATTTACAAATGTAATAATGTTCTCATCTTTCCTTGCCATGATCATTTTCAAGAAGTCAGGACAGTCTTTCTTGTAATGTCCTGTCTTCTTGCAGTGGAGACACTGATCTTTCTCAATAGCGAACTGTTGTTGCTGAGGCAGATGCTGAGACTATTTAGCTTTTGAGGTGGGAGACTTGTGGTTCTTTTTCTTGTTATCTTTAACATAGTTAATTGAACCACCATTTGACTCTTTGATTCTCTCTTCCTCTTACACACAATTAGCGATGAGCTTTTCAAACTTCCATTTATCTGGACTTATGTTGTAGTTGACAATAAAATTGTCAAACTGCTTTGGCAATGAGGCCATAACCAGATGGACCAGAAGGTCATCTGTTATGCCCAAATCCATTGGCTTCAACTTGGAAGCCATGTTGTTCATCCTAAGGCCCTCTTTGTTTAGGCTTAGGCTTATTAGCCTAGACTTTTAAGTCAGCTTATTGGCTTATATGATTTATAAGCCAGTGGATTTAATGTCCTAAGTTTAGTGGTGGAGTCATACATCTATCTCATATAAGCCAAAAAAGCTTCTCCAACCTAGCTTTTGGCTTAATAGTGTTAGAGTGGCTTATGGCTTCAAAAAAGCCAAATAAAAAAGCTGCTTGTTTGTTTTCGCTTAGAATTTTGGACTTATAAGTTGGCTTATAAGCCTAAATAAAGAGGGCCTAAGTATGTGGTCTCTAACACCACCTCCATGGTACCTTTCTGTCACAAGCTGCTTGATCAGCTGTGTAGCATTAGTCTTTGAAGAGCCAGTAAACTGACTCTTTATTCTTTCAAGGTACTTTGAGACAGCGTCACACTCTGGGATTGAGCCTAATATGGTTGGCTCAATCGTGTTCTTTCCCACAGCCAAACATTTCTTGTTGGCTAAGGACCATTTCTTTTGTTCAATGTCATACGACATGACGAGAGGAGCATTGTCCCTTTGTCTCTTTTGCCGGTTAGCATCTGACTCATTTTCACCTCTGACAAGTGCAGCAGGTTCTATAAGACATGGGGTAGTCAACACCCAGTCCACCTCTCCCAAGATGAAAGCAAGGTCGAGTTTTCTTTTCCATTCTGTGTAGTTATCTCCTTTTAGGGTTGGAATATTTTTAATGCAACCCATCAAGGAGTAGCCACCTGAAATAATCATGTACGGTGAGAACAAAATTAACATTAAAATATTATGCATTAAGCCTATATCACCATTGGGCAGAATTAGACATAACACATATAACCATAACTATAACATTGCAATTATCAACGTTGGTCAGAAAATTACAACATCATAGCACATAATTAATGTTCCTAAAATTAAATTCTCCCGTTGGTTCGAAATTTAATTTTAGAAACACTAATTTTCATCAAATTTATCTATTTGCAGCGGAAAAACTATATAAAAATCATATGAACAACAACAAAACTCTGTAATTTACTCTCTGTAAAAGTTCTCCCGTTGGTTCGAATTTAAACAGAGGTAAAACATGCAAAATCAATTCAAAATTCTATTGAAATTTGCATGAAAATTATACAAAATAAAAGGAAAATTTGCTACTGTCCCTCTTTTCATCATTTTCGGCCCCCCGAGGGACCTAATTTGAACTTTTGCCAGCGGCCCACGGCTTTTTGGCGCGTGCGGGCGCTCCCTCCTCCCCCCAGGCCGCAACCTGGGCCTGGGCCGGGAAAGTCGCCGCGCGCGCTCTCCTTCTTGGGCCGTTTTTGGCCCGACCGTCACCGGCCGTCCGATCCACTAGGGTTCGATCGGACGGCCGGGCGGGGAGATCGGGCAAACAAAACCCCCGACCCCCCCAGCCGCCGCGCCGAACCCTAGCTTCTCTTCTTTCTCTCTCTTGCGAGCGCGCGGCCGCGCCGAGCGGCGTCACCGACGCCGGCGGCCCTCGCCACCGCCGCGCCATGGCCGGCGCCTCTTTTCTTTTCTCTTCTTCTACGCTCCCCCCACCGTCTCTAACCCCCACCGTGTGAGAGAGAGCGGCGGCCGAAAGACGGAGATGGCGGCGCCGCCGCGGGCCCCCTCGCCGGCGCGTGCACCGACGGGTGCGTGCATGGCCGTCGAGTGGCTCCTCGGCGGTGCCCTTTGCCCTCCCCCCCTTTTGCCGGCGACGGCCGGCGACAAGGTAGGGTTAGGGTTTCGATCTTTTGATCCGTGTGGATCTTGTGCTTTTCTTTCTTTGGATTTCTTTCCCCGAACCGATCTAATCACTAGGGTTGCTCTGATACCATTGTTAGACTTTGCACTAGGATCACCCAGGTTAGATCTAGTCGGGTGGTTCTATTTGGGATTGATGTTTGAACAATAGAGATTGAAAACGGGAGAGGGTTTAGATAGACCGACCGGTTGAGGTGTTGGAGGATGAAGAAGCGCCGGCCATCGTCGTCGTGGTCGCGCGGTTGTCGTGGATGCGGCGCCGGTGAGGTTGACGGCGATGACGGTTGCGGCAATGGTGGTCGTAGACGTCCCGGCGATGAGGCGTGGCGCGGCGGTGGCGTTTCCCGTCACTGGTTGTGCCCCCTCTCGATCGGTTAGGGTTTTGTGGGGTGGAGTGGCGGCGGCGACGAACCTCGTACTGTGTGCCGCCCCGTCCTCCACCCCCTTTTATATGGCGCAGTGTGACGGGGGCCCACCAGCCATTGGGTTAGGCACCCCCGATCAGGGCGCGGGTCAAGGCCCCCTTGAGCCGTTGAGATCCATCTAACATTAATATTAATGTGGACAAACAACACCATAACTTATTGATATAGATGCATAGAGTAAATATTTTTTGCAAACTCGATGGTATTGAGTAGAAATGGGCTTACTCAGTAGAAATGAGCAAACTCGATGGCATAGAATATTTTTTTCTTTGAACAGACACTGCGATATGTTTTCTCATCCAACATTTGTTGTATTTTGTTTGTGGTAGACATTATTTCTTATTTATTTTGTAATAGGAACTCCTTACAAGGCATAAATATAGTGCAGCTAGCAGAGTTTTTCTTTGAAAGAATTATGAGGGGGCAAGTTTTTTCAACTTTGATTTGAAATGGGTTTTATTATTTTTCTTACAGTACTAGTAGCTAAATGTCTGAGCTTTGCTATGAAAAAAAAAATCATAATATTGCCTAAAATAAATAAAAGTATATTTTTCATCAATATGTTATCCACCTTTTTGCTACGAGGAATACTCACGTTGATTTAATTTTATGAGGCTATCTATCTATTTAGATCTAGTTGTTTATGTACTACCTACAATATGTAAATATGTAATTATAGTTTATTTTGTTTTGAGTTGTTTTATCACTCAAAGTACTTTTAAGTATGATTTATATCTTATACAATTACATAATTTTGTGAATAAAACGAATGGTCAAACATTTGTTCAAAAGTCAACGACATCATTTATTAAAAACCAGACTGAGCATATATTAAGAAGTTTAAGGGCTAATGTGTAAAATCTATAATTGGAGTAGGTGGGGTCACAGATTTATTGCCATTATCATTGAAGTCTTTTTAAAAAAGTATAGATACCTGTGTGCAATATGAACAGGAAATAAAGGCACTCTCTCTATTTCTAATTTGACAGAAAACATCCAAGGAAATCTTGCAAATTTCATACTATTAGATTGCTTTAAGATTTGTGTGATACCACATAAGCCTAACTTCTCTCATCCCTCCTCACTCCACCATTGCCTCGACTCATGCATCGCCATTCACCGCTGCTCGATTCCTTTACTCTTATACCTTCGCCACTACCCGGTCTCACCGGCTAGCTAGTAGGCATGAGCGAGGCCCTTCGATTGACCTCCTCATCCTCTTCCCCTGCTTTCTTTGTCTTTCTCAAACAGGTTACGACGAGGTGCCTTTGTCCCGCCGGTGGCTTCCCACCACTTAGACACCACCTCCTCACCGCAAGCTTTGGTTCGCCCTAGCCACCAATACCGGTCCATCTCGCTTTTCTCAATCTCCATAGCTTTGGCATCGTCCACCTATATCCACCACTTCCTACATCCATCCCTCTAAGCCTAGCTTGACCTCCTCTCTTCTCCCTCCCACCCCAGACCCAACCCAGGATTGAATTGTCGCTGATGTCCATACGCGCGTGAACACTCCACATCAGCCTTTTCGAAGACGAAAGCATCCAGGCGTGTTGTTTATGTTCTAAAAAAAAAAGAAAAAAAAAGAAAGGCGTGTTGTGTATGTATCCGAAGTAGGATGGCACCTTTTGGCTTCAACGACCCTGACTCAATTCAAGCGCATATCAAATGCACAAGAACCGAGCGCAGGGGACTCCGACTCGGACTCCGAGTCTGTCACGTATAGCCGACCATAAATAGCCGCCGCGCTCCTCGTCTCGTCCTTCCCCCACTTCTCTCCCATCCTCCATCGCACTCACTCCTCACCTCGATCCATCTGCGCCTGCGCGGGCCTCCCCCTCCCATCTCCATCTCCCGCGGATTCGCGAAGCGCCTCCCATCTTCATCTCCTCCCCCGCGCCGCGGACCTCACGCGGCCTACGCGCTGTGCGACATGGCGCCCCGTGGGCGCCGCCTGACGGAGCAGATCCACTCGGAGCACCAGGTGGTCGCCGCCCTCCTCGACAAGGCGGAGGCCTTGGTAATGGCGGCCCGCGCCAAGGGCGCCCATGGCGGCGCCGCGGCGGCGGGGGAGCAGCACCCCGATCACCCTAGCCGCGGCAAGAAGAGCGGTCGTTTCTTGCGCCGCCAGGAGACCCCACCGGAGGCCGCCACCGCGATCGACGGGGATGTCTCTCCCCCCGAGAAGAGGAGGAAGACGACGGCCGCGAGCCCGATCGTGGAGGTGGAGGTTGAGGTGATCGAGCCGACCATGCCCAAGGCGCAGAGGGACCGCCTCTACGGCCTCCTCGCCTCGCTGTCGGCGGACACGCCATTGCCGCCGCACATCGTCGGCCTGATGCGAAGCCAATGCTGCTGCGTCGTGGACCCTAACGGCGAAGAGATGGATGTCGATCTTAGCTCCGCGAAGGATGCTGCCTTGTTCCAGTTGCTGAACCTGCTCGTGGAATTCGCTCAACAGCAGACCACCAAGATTATTGAGGAGCAAGAACCGCCCAAGATCGAGGCATCCGACGCCACCAGCAGCTCGTCGATCTGCGACCTCCTCGAGGACGGTGAGATAGCCGATGAGGGTGCGGCCATGGGCATGGACATCTGCGGCGGCGTCTCTCCCCTCATCGTGGACAGTGCTCAGCTCTTGCCACTTCCGAAGCAACAAGAGGATGACGAGTTGATCGACATCTATGGTGGCGTCTCCCCTGTATCAGTCAACAACTTCCCTGATTCTCCTCGTTCGAGCAGCAGCAGGAGCGACTCCTCATCATCCTCCAGCTCTAGCAATGGCTCTGGCTCCTCCTCATCTTCCAGCAGTGGCGCCTCTTCTGGATCATCATCCTGCGCCGGTTCATCCTCCTCGTCGTCGGGAAGTGACACCGACGCCGACGCCGACAGTGCGAGCAACAGGCCAGACACCACCACAGATCATCCCACCGAAGCTGAGGTGAAGCCAATGGTGGAGCACGAGGTCATGGAGCAAGACAAGAAGCTGACCACTGAGAGGGCAGCAGCATCTCCTGCATCTCAGCTCTGCATCACGGACATGGGCATAGACATCTGCGGCGGCGTCTCTCCCCTGGTCGTGGACAAGGCTCAGTTCTCGCCGCTCCCGAAGCAGCAACAGGAGGATGACGAGTTGATCGACATCTGTGGCGGCATCGACTCCCCTGTATCGGTCAGCAAGTTCCCTGAAACTCCTCGCTCGAGCAGCAGCGACTCTTCCAGCAGTTCATCTTGCAGCGGTTCATCCTCCTCGTCGGAAAGAAACGACAGTGCGAGCAGCAGGCCAGACACCACCGCTGATCATCCCACCGAAGCTGAAGTGAAGCCAATGGAGGAGCAGAAGCTGATCATTGAGAGGGCAGCATCTCCTCACACTGAGATGCAGGAGCTGATCACTGAGAGGGCAGCATCTCCTCACACTGAGATGCAGGAGCTGATCACTGAGAGGGCAGCATCTCCTCGCACTGAGATGCAGGAGCTGATTGCAAGGGCCCAGGAGAGGCAGAAACTCCAGCGTGAGCTCGAGAGAGAGGCAGCGCGTGAGCTCGAGAGAAAGGCGGCGCGTGAGCAGCTGCAGGAGATGAAGAGGACGGCGCAGCCGGTCTTCGACATCATCGATCCCAGAGACATGAAGCAGCTGGGGATCTCCGGCGAGGCGCAGTACATTGTCAGCCCGGTGAAATCTAGGGACAGCCTGCGTCGCCGTGGAGGCGGCCTGCTACAGAGGCTTGGCTTCTTCCTGAAAGCAGAGTTTTGATGAGCTAGAGCAGAGTAGGAATAGGACCATGATCTCGTCTGTTTCTGCTGTCTGTTCGATTCTTTGGTTGCTTGTCAAGCCTGCTTTGAACCTTAGAAATCTGTTTAATGTAATTTACTTGAAGCCATTGATTTATTTGCAGCCAACTTGTGCTGGCAGTAGCCCCATCATATGTATACTGTACATTATTCTGATGATATATGAATGTGATATGATTTGTCTTAAACAATTGTTTCAACCTTATTTCAATTGTACGCTTGGGCTTATGTTTATGCTACAGAAGCTCAGCTTCTTCCTGAAACATAGGCCAGCAGAGTGTTGACGAGCTACAGCAGGGTAGGATTTGTCAATGATTTATCTACTTCTGTAGATTCTTATAAAATAGAAATTTCCAGGGACGATTCTTGTCACATTGGTCATGCTCTGATTAATGATCTGGTCTGTTATATGACGATTTGACTAGAATTGCATTAGGCAAGTGTTCCTAGTTATTTCAATTGTACGCAGAATTCTGAGTTTTCACATGTTTGTATAAAACAGCTGATGCAAAAGTGAGGAGCAGGAACAGCATTTTTACATGTTAATAAACAGAATAGAGGAGAAACAATCGTGTTAAACAGAGGATGCTACTGCATGCACAGAGAAGGAGAAGCAAATGCCTCAATAACAAAGATAACATTGCTGCTTGCCACTTGAAAAGCAGCATAGCAAAAATTGTTGCATCTGTAGTGCAGGATGATCAGTGCCCCTATTTCAGATTACCGCCTTCGTGAGAGTTCTCTGGTTTTGGGAAGCCAATGCTTGCAGGGTACATTGATGGATTGCTTATCCCAAATACAATTCTGTGATCTTCAACAGCAACAATCTTGCCTGCTTCGTCAACACGTAGGGTGTAGGTAGCCGTCATCGCAAATTCTGGATCTCCTGTGTAACCTCTAAGCAAGATTCAATGGAACAGTTGGTCGCGATTGCATTGGGGCCTATATGAGATCTGGAAGCAGCATACCCATACATGCTTTATACAAAGTGAAAATGTTAATTCAAGATGCTTCATGAGGCAAATGCTTATTAAGAAGAATTTGACTGATGCATATAACATAAGAAGAGAAAACAAGATACTTGCGCACATGGGTGCTAATTTAGCTAGGATTTGCATGTTAACTGAACATTGATATAACAGACAAAGCAAAATATCTTCCACAGTGAGTTTGAGGGTGCCGAGTGGTGAAGAGTTTGAGGGTGCAACAAATTAGTTTTCTACTTTTCTGGAATATTTCTGTTAGTAAGAACTGAATGGCACATGACATATTCCTGAATAAGTAAATAAGGAACTGCAAAATAATTACCTGATCAAGTTGATATATCCAGGTGGCAACCTTGAGTCACTTTCCTGAATAATTGTGCCAAGAATTTTCTCTAGTGTGATGCCGTTCTAAATTGTGTTTGCCCATCCCAATTCTGTAGCAAAGCAACATTTCAGTTAGGAAGGTGGTATCATGAAGTAACTTGTATCACATATCCACAAAGTCACAGCCTCAGAGACGTAAACACCAATGCAGAAGCAACTTTCAGCAAGACGGCAACAACTGAAACTTATTTGCTACACCACATCAAGATTTGGAACATATCCTTCCAACCTCATCTCATCAACCAGTAGGTCTAGGACCTGATACATATCATCTGCACCATGCTGTGGTTCGTCCCCTGCATAGAATTCAAGGACTTTCCCACTAATCTCAACCCAGCTGCAACCTGGAGTTTTGTTGACACCTCTTTCCCTCATTAGCCCTCTCATCTTTGCTGAGTCATCCAATCTACCTGAGCTGGCGTATATCTTGGACGACACCACATAGTTCCACGAGTTTGTGGGTTCCAGCTGAATGATCCTGTTGATGACCCTCTCACCAATTTCAACATTCTTGCATTTTCGACAAGCTGCAAGCAAAGCCCCCAACATCACTGCATCTACCTTGTCAGGGATCTTCTCGATGAAGTCCCACACTTCCTCCAAATGTCCACTCCGCGCCAATGGATCAACCATACATGAGTAGTGCTCAATCTTAGGAATAATCTGAAACTCAGATGTCAAGGAATTGAACCAGCGCTTGCCATCTTTCACTAACCCAGCATGTACACAAGCAGAAAGGACACCTATGAAAGTGATATCATCTGGCTTGAGCCCATCCTCGTTCCTCATCAGTTCAAAATGCTGAATGGCTTCATCACCTTGCCCGTTAAAGGCAAGGCCACAGATAAGGGCATTCCAAGAGGCTACATTCTTGCATCTCATCTTCCTAAACACTTCTATGGCTTTGTCAAGATCTCCACACTTAGCGTACATGTCCACTAAGGCTGTCCCGACGTAAACATTATTGTAGAGACCTCTGCATGAGGCGTAACCGTCCAGTTCAGAACCTAGCTCCAGAGCTCCAACAGCAGAGCAGGCCGAGAGGACTCCAGCCAATGTTATCTTATCTGGACATACGCCTGCTTTCTTCATGTTGTGGAACAAGGAAATGGCTTCATTTGACATGCCATTTTGCGCATATCTGCATAATCTTAAATGCAATATATAAATAAACAAGCCAAAAGGGATAAACTAATTAGCTTATTTCAGGTAATAATCAAAGAGTTTTATATTCTTACCCAGTAATCATGGCATTCCAAGCGACTACGTCCTTGTCAATGATGCTGTCAAACACACGCCGCGCCTCTGCAATCTCTCCACACTTCTCATACATACCCACAAGTGCCGAGCCAACAAGAGAGTCCGTTTCCATCCCTGCGGACTTTGACCACTCTTCCACCCACCTTCCAAGCACCAAATCTCCCTCATCCCTGCATGCAGCTAGCACGACAGCCAACGTCACGGCATTGGGCACAACTGCACCGTCCTTCACCATGTCCCGTAACATCCTGCCTACCTCACCGTTCATCCCCACCCGCCCATATGCCTTCATCATAGCGTTCCAAGAGACCACGTCCCGGCTGGGAATTCCGTTGAACACCTTTCGTGCGGCTCCAGGATCATCAAGGTAGGAGTATATGGTGATAAGAGAATGGACAGTGTGGTCGTGGCTATTCAAGTCGATCTTCTCAAGCAGCGCGTGCGCGACGGGCGAGAGATGGCGCGGGGCATCGGGCGGCGGCGAGGAGGAGGAAAGGAAGCGTGTAGGAGTCTGGGCGGAGGTCGGAGCGGAGCATTTCGAGGAAGAGGCGGAGCGAGGTGTGGGGACGGGAGGAAGCGAAGAAGCGGATGGCGACGTTGTAGGAGAAGGCGGTGGAGGCGGGGTGGGATGCGAGGAGCAGGAGAGCGTAGTCGGAGGCAGCGGCGGTGGAGTCGGTTGTAGCGGCGGCAGAGGAGGAGGTGAAGAGGGAGAGGAGCTTGGAGAGGAAGTGGTTGTAAGGGAAGGAGGCACGGTGGGCGTAGTGGAGGAGGTGGGCGTGGAGTTGCTTGATGGCGGCGAGGGAGCGGCATTTCGGCAGGAGCTTGGAGGCGAGGTAGGACCGTAGGAGGAGGACGCAGAGGCAGTAGCCGGCGAGGAGGAAATGCGGATCATCGCCGGCGACGAACCGTGGAGCTATCCGCCGCCGGTGCACCGGTGAAACCCTCCGACCTTTTCAGTTCAGTTCAGCCTCGACCGCCGCCGCCGGCCACCGGCCGCCCCGTCACGGCGTAGCGAAAATGAGGGGATTTGCATTGGAGGCGCCCAACGGCCCAAGGAGGAGGGAATAGATGGGCCCAGCCCAGCCCTTGCCGAGGGCTTGGCCCGCGAGGGGAAGCAAATTTCGTGGATGATTAATTTAAAATTAGTTAAAACATATAAATAGATTAATATGATTTTCTTTAAGGGAACAATCTTTTTAAGGATTTTGTTTAAAACAAACATACATTTAATAGTTTGTACATGCACGTGGAAAATAAGAACACAATCATGCTTGGACTGTCAACGAAGGGTGATTTTTTGCTTACATGCATGAGATCTTCTCGGGTGACTCCAAACCTGATGCTTTCTGAAATTTATACTACAATTAATAACTTCACATATTTCTCACATTTTCTCTTCTCATACATCCTGCAGCATTGGTACACAGTGTCGGTTACATTGCAGAAGCCAGACATTACAGGGGACGGCCCAACCTACAGATAACTCTATTTTATTTTTCAAATTTATTCTCCACTAATCTACATACATAAAATAATTCATGTCTCTGGTAGTTTGCAAGCTAGCAGTACTTGTAAACCACATTATTGAAAGGGACTACCGCTGCTTTAAATAATACCGTCATGGTCTATACATATGACATGTGCATAGATGTATGGTTTTGAATAGAACCCTGATGAACCCTGAAGGGCGTTAGAGTCTTGATTTTGCTGGTGAGCCCATCACAATCATCACTTTACCAACGGCCTTCCTGTCTCTCAGGGCTGCGAAAGCGAGATGTGCCTGTAGAGAAGTTAACATCACATAGTTCACTTATAAATGATAAGGCAACAAAACACAAAGATAAGAGAATTTTCAATATACACAGTAATCCATTTACAAGCTTGAAGATATGAACAGTAGTTACAAATGGTAAAAAACCCACGTAGTTGGTCCTTATTCTGACTGGCTGACAGTACAGTATAATCTGGGCAGTTGATCAGCATACAAAGCCAGAAATTGACTAAAATCAGTACCATTTTCTTAGATAAGATGCACCACTGGCATATATTACCACGTGTGTCCGTGTTGACATGCTCAGGCAGTCACGCCTAGTTGCTTCATAAGTACATTTTAGTATACTGGAACTACTTTGACTTTATAAGTATCAACAAGATTGGATCGTAATCTCAAAAACCAATATGGCAGCCAAATGATGCAAAAAGTGCCAAGCAACTTTAAGCTATCCTAGCTGATGAAAAGCTCACATTACAAATGAAAGATCCATTCAGAACATGGGAGTTATATATAAATATTGTGCAGAGCTGTCTCTAATGAAATTTATGTAAGTTTTTTGCATTCAAGACTTATGTGTCGTCTTCAAGATTGATTGGGCCATGCGACGTTTCATGTGACATGTGGTTAGTGTTACAAGAACTGTAATTATAATAAGGTTTGTTAAAATGTTGTCGCTTACCTCAGGGAGCCTGTAAGTGTGGGAAATCTGGATTTTTATCAACCCCTTTGAAAGCCATGAAAAGAGTTCATTGAGGGAGTCAATGAGTACAGGTGGCCGATGAGTGAAGTAGCTTCCCCAGTACAAACCATGAATTGTCCAATTCTGAAACAGCACAGCAGCAATTAGTTACTCGTTTTCTTTTTTTTAAAAAAAAGTTATGTATGAAGACATTTTATCTGCAATCAAATATTCTGAATTCCCCAGCAATTCCATTTTACATTCTAGCTGGAAAGCTATCGTGCAAATTCAAAGTCTTCTAAAAATTCAACTTTAGATTGGTTGATCATATTATTTTTTCTGATTCCACTGATGCAATCTTTACACTACTGTTGTCTGCTTCAAGTATTTCTTAATTCATAGGATTCTTAATCCTCAAATTAGTTTCAATGAGAATGAATTCAGGCTAACCTTGCCCAATCAATAATTCATCAGAATTCATATCAGACTCTCGCTTATTGAGAAAGGACCAGTCCCACCTCTTAAGCAAATGGAAGCTTGTCTAAAATAGTTATACGGTGCACAAAAACAAGGTACATGACAGTGAATCCAGTTCCCTATGATGCTCTTAAGAGAAATGAATAAAAGTCAGCAGTGATTAAATCATTCTGATTCTACAATGGAGTGCATACAAATAAGGCATAGAGCTGTGTGTTGAAAAGTAAAAATTCTGGAAATTCCACAAAAAAAATTGGTTTACCTTAACAAGAGCGATGTTTGCTCGAATAATTGGTACATCTCCACTGGCAAATCCAATTATCAGAATATGTGCACCCCAATTGAGAAGTTTTAGGCTATCTTGTGTTAATTTGCCTCCAACAGGATCATATAAGACATCAACACCTTTGAGGCCTTTGGCTTTTAAAAAAGATTTGGCACTTTCCATAATACTTTCCTTGCTTGAGTCAATTACATGGTCAGCTCCTATAGTCTTGAGATACTGCAATTTCTCAGTTCCCCTAAAGTCAAGAAAAAAAAAGGGGATATTTAGGAAGAGAACACAAATTGGTGAAATGCAATAGCAACCGTACAACAATTATCTCATCACACCAATCACCTAGCAACTGCAATAACAACAGCACCACAAACTTTTCCTATTTGTACAGCAGATGCCCCGACACCACCAGCAGCACCCAGAACAAGTAGCACCTGCAATCACAACCTTTATTAACAATATCCGACAATGTACTGGGAGCACATCCGAGCATTATAACCTTTATGTTTGCTAAAGCTATATGCATGTGTCTTAACTATGTTTTGCATTACAATACTAAGACAAGCATCACTCACTAGAAATCTTAATATGTATATCGTTACTAGGAGCTTTGGTAGCTGACTCTTAATCAAAGAAGGGAAACTGTAATGGACATTGATTTACCGATGGAGAATGAAGACCTGCACAAAGATGGGATCGCACTCATTGGTGCCAAGCTGGATTGCTGAGGGATTCTGAATTTCTGATCAAACTAGACCTAACTTATTTCTTCTTATTGCTTAATCATAATAGAGGTGCATGCATCCCTTTCATAGGGATGATTTGGTATATTACTGAACAGGTTTGAGTGAATAGTAACTTCACCCATTAGAAGATTTAGGCTGAATTCGTTTGGAAGAGATGGGAACCAATCTCCTGTGCATGGAAAACGGAGCGGTATATTAGCACATGATTAATTAAGTATTTAGCTTTTTTTTTTCAAAAATGGATCAATATGATTTTTTTAAGCAACTTTCCTATAAAAAGTTTTTGCCAAAAATGCACCGTTTAGCAGTTTGAAAAGCGTGCGCGCGGAATAGAAGGGAGAGGAGTTGGGAACATGCGGTGCCAAACACAGCCTTAGGCTGTTTGGTTGCCACCCTGAGACAAATCTGCCTAGCCAGAGACAAGCCTGAGAAAAAATACACCTTGTTTGGTTAGTGCCTGAGCCACTCCTGCGCTCCATACCTTTCCAGGCCTGGGCTCTCCGGCAGCTCAACCAACCTGAGTCAGGAGACCAAATTTGGTGACCTCAGTTGCATGCAGAGCCAGGCCACTTGATTAGCCGAAGTACTTCTCTACTAACTGCTGAATTAAAGTAATTCTCTCACGCTGCAGCTGGTTGCTTTCTTTTGCATGCACTATCTTGTGATTGGCAAACGTGCTGAACTGCTCTCCACTTGATTAGCTAAAGATATGTTATGAGACTATGTAAAAAAAAATATTTGTTAAATCTCTTAAGTATCTATATTGGATTTATGATTAAACTCCAAGCTTAAAAAGAGAAAAATGCCAGATAATATTAGTTTTAAGTGTTCTCAGGCACAGGTCACCAACCAAACAAGTTTCTCTCAGGCATGAACCACTCCCACCTCATGCAACACTCAGGCACATATTTTTCTCAGGCATGACGCCCAGGTCACCAACCAAACAAGCTTAGAATCCTGACCTTCGGAATAAACCATATCTCAAATAGATAGGATACAAACAATTATTCTCTATGCCAGGAAGCTAATTAATTAATCAATATAGTATAGATATTCTTATTTTGGAAGGCAAATGCTTCCCTAGTCCTACTGCTACAGTACCATTAAAAAACAGAACAGTACTGACAGATTTCATTAATGTGAGAATAAAATAATCAAAACCCCTGTATCAGATCATCAGATGGTGGGTCCTAAATGGAAGGGTTTTAATTGGAGACACCAACAAAATGGTGCTATGGTAACGGTACTGCAGATGAACAGTGCCTGTACACTGTAGCATTAGAAATATGCCCCTAGATGATTTTAGTTTTCAAGGATAGGGAATAGTTAAGTGGTATCCTATCTGTGGACCTTTATCCCAATCTGTGGACCCTTCCTTATCCACGAATAAGCATCCATAACATTTTGACCTTATCAGAACGGTGTGGATGTTTGGGTACTGTTGCAGAAGTTCACCTCTATGATAGAAACTGTAGAATTTAAGTTATATAGAAAATTGACATAATAAATTTCATAAATATAAAATACAAGGCCTATGTTTGACCAATAATGGCCATCAAAATGAGCCATTTGAGGTAATGCGGTCTAGCTCATAATATTGTGTGTACATGATATGTCACAAACGAAGGTAAGACACTGATGCCACTGCCACATAACTTAACACACTAACAGTAATTATGGATATAGAGATGTGGAGCAGCAGCAGAGAGATGCTGATTTACTCAATGCAGTGCTCCGAGAATGTGGATGGCCATTCCAAAGGAGATTTGTGCCGTATCCATGATGAATGTCCATAACAATAACATGAACAATGCACAAGTACCAAATGGATATCTTATAGGCATTTTATAAACAAAGAGATTAACACAGGGGTGCACCTGGCCAGCCTTTAGTTCAGCTCTGTGTACAAGGGCCAAATGCGATGTACCAAATGCAACAGGCAATGCTCCAGCAGCAACAAGGTCACATCCATCAGGCACCGAAAATCTGATTCGAAAGAACATAGCACTGATTCAATAGAACATACCAGAATAAATAAGATGTTTCTCTATTGTGTAAGTTCCCTGATTATTGGCCAAGTACAATTCATTTTTTTCCTGCAGACCTGCACAAAGCATTAGCTTTGAGATGTGCGCCTGTCTGATTATGATTCTGATCCAACGATTTAAAATGCATGTTATACTTACAAAAAAATTCTGGTAACTACAGATAGCCCCTCATATACAAAAATTCAGAAATTCACATATATACAAGTATCTAACCAACATTTGCTTCCTTTATTTTATTTCACAACAGTGCTAACTGTTTTACTCTGCAACTGCAACCACCACAAGTGCAGCTATTGTATTAGTTGATTTATACATTGCATATTGCTAAGATAAACAAACAGGAGACATACTGTGCGCTTTGTTTGCTAGTGAAATCAAGCTGAAATAACAAAACAAAATACAATCCAGTCCTCACTACAACATTAACATCGCCTTTTTTAAGGCATCCCGACAATTGAAAGATTCCACCTCTTTATTAGGGGATCAAGGCTTAACTATCTATAGAGAGACAGACAGCAACATTCTCATCTTTTTCATCGAAAACCAGCATAGTCTCTCCCACTCCCACATCCCCATATTTAGACATATCATAGAATAAATAGTTTTTAAAAAGAAACATTTACTCCCAAAAGCAAACAACCCTTCTCATAAGCTATAAAATCTGCATAGCACCTACCGAACTAGCAGAAAGTTTAACTCTACGATCGGACATGAGAAGAGCGAACAGATATAAGCCGATGTAGAAATGCTTCAACAACTAATCGACTACATACAAGAAAATGCATCCGACAATTGAAAGAGAAAACCAAATATAACTCGTGATGCTGTATCCCACTAATTAAGGCATGTACTGATAAATTAACCCAAAAATGGGGATTTCCAAAGAGAGAGCCACTTGGAGTAAGCTAATCTTCCAAACGGAGATCACCATACGAGGCAGCGAGAGGCGAAAAACCGAACTCACAGCTGCTTCTCGTCGGCGACGATGAGATCCGCGAAGGAGCCGACGGCGGCGAGGCCGCAGACGCGGTCCCCGGGGCGGAACCTCCGCACGGCGGGGCCGACGGCGTCGACGAACCCCGCGTAGTCGGAGCCCGGGACGAACGGTAGCGCGGGGCGCTCCTGGTACTTGCCCTGTACCTGCAGGTAGGTGGCGAAGTTGAGGCTGGTGGCCGCCACGCGCACCCGCACGGACGTCGGCGACGCGAGCGCCGGCGCCGGGTGGTCCCCGGTGACCGGCGCGAACGGGGAGGCCTCGCCGCCGGGGGCCAGCGTGGGGTCCCCGAGCCGCCGCACCACGAGCGCGTCCATTTTTTCTAGGCGGCGTCGCGGCGACGGCGGCGGGCGGTGCTTTTGGATAGTCAAGGAGGACTCGGGGCGGGGATTCAGAGCATCACCAACAGTCCAACAGAATCGGTATATTATTCTCTATCCAATAATCTGAAGATATTTTTTGAAAAAAAATTGATCTTATCAGATAGCCCCATCGTTTGGCCTAAACAGCCAAAGAATAAGCCAAAATTTGAATTTTTGAACTTGATTTTGAAGTTGATTTTGAAATGCTTTTAACGTAATTTTTGTTAATGTTGGCTTTTAAGTCGCTACGAACAAATCTACAAAAGTTTTACTTATAAATTAATTTTAATTTTCTAATAAGCCAAATAAGCCATTTTGGGTAAAATGGCAACCGATGGGAGCCAAATCTAATCTCATTCCCAAAATTCCGAAAATACTTGTAGCCGGGTGACCGGCGCGGGGGAGCCAGATCGGACGCTCCCCCGCGCCCCTCCCCACGTGTGTACCTCGGCCCACCTACTACCCTCTCCCATTTTTCCACAACCATCCCCACGTGTGTACCTCGGCCCACCCACTTTCCTCTCTCATTTTTCTACAAAAGATGTTTCACCTAATTTACTTATAATGTTTCACTATTTCTAATGTTGCAGTGAATTAAAATATTCTTTTGCAACAAAAAAACTCACATATTTTGGAAACTCTCTATTAAGGGAATTTGGTTTATTTTTTGTTCCATAAAAATGTTACACCTAGTGTACTCACAATGTTTCACTATGTATAAATCTAATGTTGTAGTGAACGAAATATTCCATTGCAAAAAAAAAACTCACATATTTTGGAAACCCCCTATTAAGGGAATTTGGTTTATTTTTTGTTCCACAAAAAAAATGTTTCACCTAGTGTACACAATGTTTCACTATGTATGGATCAAATGTTGCAGTGAACTGAAACATTCTTTCGCTATTTGCTGAAACATTGTTTTTTTATAAGGTGAAACAACACCTGATTTAAACGAGTGAAACATTTTCGATCTACTTAGTGAAACAATTTCGATATACCTGGTGTAACATCGTGCAACATTTAAAAAAAATTAAATAATAAGCTAAATTTTTTTTTCGTCGGAATATATCCATGTGTTGTCTTGTTTTGGCTCCTAATCACGGCGCTTCACGTGCGGGGAAGAGATGCACACGTGATCTGACGGGAGGAAGGAGCGCAAAACATATTTTTTTTCGTGGAGGTTTTATCGTGGCCCACCCTTTTAATTTTTAGGAAACCAATTTTACCTAATCTCTTGGAGTGAGAAAATTTTTAACACCTCAAATTATGTTTTTGCATCCCCATAACTAAAAATTTGGGAATAAAATTTTAAGATGTGTTGGTGATGCTCTAGCAGCGGTTAGCGTACGTACGATTAGGGGTGAGCATAAAAACCGAGAACCGAATACCGTACCTAAAAAATCGACACCGAAACCGAAAAAACCAAAGTAGCGGTCTTCGGTCGTTTGCTCGGTTGCACGATGGGAGAGACCGGTTCGGTTAGAGCAAGTTTAATAGTATAGCCAAATGTTAGCTCCAAATCATCTATAACTAATCTAATAGCCTATTCATACAATAGTTATTTACACAAATATCCTACACAATTAATATCCGGTCCCACCTCATACATACAACGTGTTGAAGTCCGTGTTGTTACTGGCAATTAAATTTATAGCCCACTTACTTCTCTTTCTTTTTTTCTTCTTGATATATCGTTATAGGTGACTTACTGTACTTGCTCTCAGTACCGGCTACAAATTGAAGAAACCGAAGACCGAAAGTATCAACTTCCATGTTGCTCCAGGCCTCCAGCCCATTGGCTGCCCTAGTAGCCCACCGTCCATTTCGATTGGGCCCACATGACTAATCTCCAGTTCCCCACCACATGTCCGGGTGAACAAAAGAAAGGAAAAAGGGGAGTCTCGATCTTATTCAGTTATCCTCAACTCGGCAACTCCTCGACGACGACGGCACATGCTCCCCAGCCTCGACTCGCACGGGACCTCGTCCCGGCCACCGGAGGGGCCAGCCCTTCCTCCGCGTCGCGCCGCCGCCTGCCTCCTTCGCGCCACGTGCGACGCGCCGCCGTGGCGCCGCCTGCCTCCTTCGCGCCACGCCGCGCCGCCGACCTCGGCCTGCTTGCGGCTTGCCTCCACTTCTCCCTGGCTGCCGTCCACGCTACACATCCACACCTCCATCTCGGCTCCGCACGAGGGGCTGCGTCGGGCATCGCCGCGCTGTCGCTTGCTACATGTGGGGATTATGGATATTCCATATCTAGACGGCAGTTATAGTTTAGTTGGATACATGGTACTAGATATAGATAGAATATCTTTATGAGGACTCGGGTTAGTTTCTAACTTATATGTCAAGAAAATACCCGAGATCCTAGTCGGTTACGATTATATTTTATCTGTAATCACATATTCCATTAGGGATATGGACTGTATTTTGTAATACGGACCCCTTCCCCTATATAAGGAGGGGTCCGGGCTCCTCTCGGGACGACCTTTTTTCCCCAGATCATACGATCAATAATACACTCGGCGGAATCATCCCCGGACAGGAGTAGGGTATTACTTCTTGAATAAGAAGGCCTGAACCTGTATAAAATTCCTTATCTTCAAACCCATCCACTTTTCTAGCTTGATAGCCACCCCCTTTAAGTATTGCCGAAATCTTGTTTTGACAGTTGGCGCGCCAGGTAGGGGTTGCGTCAAGTTTCTCGCCGATCAGTGCGATGGGTTCCGTCTCCGGCATCGACAACTTCGTCTTCCCTCCCGGGCAGGCGTTTCGGTTCGGCAGCCTCAACTTCATCACCAACGACTTCGGTAAGATCTCTCTCCTCGACTCAGATCCAAACCAGTCGGGAAAGAACCAGGTCTCAGCCCCGTTCGGTATTCCGAACTCGGCCAAGATCTACTCCAAGCTTATCTCGCTCGAGTCGGCTTCAAACCACTTGGACGAGATCCCATCTACTCCGACACCACCAGATCAAGATGATGGGGCCTACCCGCCAATCATGATGAAACTCCCCGACGATTTGGCTGCAGTCTTCACTACAAGGGCGTCTTCTCCCCGTAGGCCTAGGCGGAAGTTGGCTTCAACACCGATCATGCCTAGCTCCAGGGAAGTCGGCATCATACTCCAGCCACTCGGCACGATTTCGACGGATCAACTGGAAGGCTACCTCAGCTCCCCCGGCATCGACTCACGACCAACAGAGATCGTGGAGTACGACGAATTCGGCTACCGCTACGACAGCTGCGACCTCGACGACTTCGACGAAAGCTTTGAAGACAATTACACCCCTCTCTACTTCGGCGTCTTCATGGCCGACAACGAGACGGAAGAACAATGCCAAGCCCGAGAAACAGAGGCACGACGCGTACAGCAGGAAGCCGAGTGACGCCGACTGGAAGAGGAGCGCCAAGCACAAGAGCAAGAACGGCTGCGGCGAGAGCAACAAGAACGCGAACGGGCTGCAAAGGAGGCCGAGGACCGACGACAACGAGCCTTGGACGCAGGGCGACGAGCGCGAGATCTCATCGGGCAGCAAGACGTCGAGGGGACAGCGGTCTTTCGCACCCCTCAACAGAACGCTGTCGCTGCGATCACCCTTCTCGACACCCTCCTCAAGGAAGACGCACTCAATCAAGCTGATCACGTCGTCAACATCTTGAACCAGACCAAGACCATGATCGCCGCTTCGGTCCCGGTTAACTTCGGAAGCATCCGCACGCCGACTGGCAGCCGGGCTCCCCATCTCCGATCTCATGATTACCACCAGCCAAGCCTCAGCATCGCCGGCATAGGATCCAATCGCAGGAGCAGGGGCCACGACGAGCGATCTGTTCACTCACCTCCTGAGCGACACAGGGAGCGCCGAGTTGAACGGCCTTGCTCCCCACCTTGCCAGTGTCCTGTCGATCTTCGCGATAAGATTAACCAGCGCCGTGCAGCACGAGGTCACCGCCATTCACCAGATCGCTACGACGACGACATGGATGGAGTAGCTGCCTTTACTAATGACCTGCGTCGAGTGGATTGGCCAGCCGGCTTCAAGCCGACTGGAATCGAGAAGTATGACGGCACCACTAATCTGGAGTCTTGGCTTACCGTCTACGGTCTCGCAATCCGTGCAGCAGGAGGAGACAGCAAGACCATGGCAAACTACTTACCTGTGGCCCTAGCTGATTCTGCCCGGTCCTGGCTCCATGGATTACCCCGTGGCATGATTGGATCATGGACAGAACTTCATGACCACTTCATCGCCAACTTCCAGGTCACCTTTGAACGCCCCGGCACACAGTTTGATCTCTACAACGTCATTCATAAGTTTGGAGAATCCCTTCGAGATTACATCCGACGCTTCTCTGAACAGCGCAACAAGATCTCCAACATTACCGACGACGTCATCATCGCCGCTTTCACCAAAGGAATTCGCCACGAAGATCTAGTCGGCAAGTTCGGGCGCAAGCCTCCCAAGACAGTCAAACAGATGTTTGAAAAAACCAACGAGTATGCCAAAGCCGAAGACGCCATTATCGCATCCAAGCAGTCGGGTCCTACTTGGAAGCCAAAGAAAGACGCGCCGACTACGGGAGGGGGTGGAAGTAACAATCACAAGGACCGCAAGCGTAAGCCCGAGGAACTCATCGCGACTACTACACACTCCTCCTGACAACGTTCGCGCGTCAACACTTTTGACAAGATCATGAACTCCCAATGTCCGCATCATCCCAACTCCAACCACGTAGCTAAAGATTGCTTCGTCTACAAGCAGTTTGCAGAGCAATATGCCAAGAATGCACGGAAGACCCCTGACGGAGAACAAAGCACGTCGAAAAAGAAGGATGATGATGATGACGCCCCGACAGATTTTCAAGATCACCGCAAGGAGCTCAACCATATCTTTGGCGGCCCTCTAGCTTACGAATCTAAAAGAAAGCAAAATCTGACTGAAAGGGAGATCAATGCTGTTCAGCCCGATATGCCCCAATATCTTCGGTGGTCGGAGATAACAATCAAGTTTGACCACTCGGATCATCCTGACCGAG